CTCTGGCAGTGAAAGCTGGGTGTTTCATGTTCTCCCCGAAAAACGCGGAAGGACAGTGCTACAGCTGTAGACGGCTACTGCTCTGGAAATCATCAACGCAGAAAATTTTACGAGGATACGAGCAAAATGCTTCAGAATCTTGAAGTTCTTCATTCTCCGCCTCTGAACAAAAATAGTCAATTTTACTACTTGACAGTTTTGCTCGTACTTCTCAAAAATTACACTATGGAAAAGTTGAACGAATGAGGCAAAAATTTTTGCTTTACCCACATGATACTGCCAGGCCTCTACCCTACCGACTCTTTGAATGTGTGGACATTAGCCTGGGAGGTAAGATTTTTCTGAAATAGGACACGTCGAAAATAACTTTCGTGGACTCCAAAAGTCGGAGTTTTATGTAGAGGGAATAAGCAAGCTCGTGTTTCGTTGGAAATTGCATCGAATGTAACAATTCATGTTTCGATTTGTAAAGTTGGTTTCATAATAGTTATAGCGTGTCGAAAATTACCCTCTAATATTTAAACATCGAATGTGGGATGAATTCTTATGCCTCGCTCTTAACTTTCCTGTAGCACTTTGAAAACAAGCATGAGATCCACCACATTCAACCTGAATGAATTCGGTTTCAACAGCAACATTGATTAGGCCGGAACCGTGGTCCCTCTCTTTAGAATTATGCGGGCACTGGAGAGCAAACTTGTTTCTGTTGTGAGTTGACTTCTCAGAAAAGGATAAAATCACTGAATTCACTTCAGTTGAATAGTGGAAGTTGAATTTTATCATCGCTGTACAAAGCCCATTCATTTCGATGAGCTCAACGTAGTGGACGAAAAAAGCATATTCCAGTCCTCGGTGAATACATCGATCAATCCCGTTTGTGGCGTGAATCGTCAGGTTTTAGTGGAGCAATAACTTTTTTTTCTTTATTATGGTGTGAGTAGTTTGTACGTTAATGACATCACTGTCATAATCACCGTGGATAACTTCGCAAAAGAGCAGTGGGAGTCAGAGCGCATTGAATGGAGAAAGCAATCCTTCTCTCTTCCAACTTCTTTACAAGGGTAAATTTCAGTGTCGCAGTTTTGAGCTGCGTTTCTTCTTGGGCGGTGAACCATAATTTAGAGATAGAACTTGTTTAGATAGAGACCGAATACTTTTCCAAAAGAAAGTTCACGTCTTGTGTTTTAATCTAGAAGTCATCAATTTTTTGCTGACTCAGAAGTATTGTCATCCTGAAATCGTACGCAAAAAACTGCTAGGCGAAACATTCTTTAGAAGCTTAGGAAAGCCTGGTCACTTCATTTAGCCCCGCGTAGTGTCATTTATTTGCCCAGTCATTTGGCTTTCGAGATATGAAGTTTTTTTTCGATTCTCAAATATTTTTTATACGAAAAAAGTAATACGAAAGGTTTTTTTTATTTTGCTGTTTTTTTTTTNAAGAAAAATCGATTCGCAATCAAATGAGCCAGTATATGAGGCATGGATACATGTCTGCTTTTACTACAAACAGGATCTGATCGTGTGTTGTCTCAGCTGAAAGGACGATCTAATGAAATCATCCAATTTTAGATTCAAGTGGGTCAGAACTTGCTGCCCTCGTCATTGTGTCCATCCAGAGCCGCCATGCTCAACTGGAGTTCTGCCTCTTTGGAAACATTGCAGTCGGACTGGTTTATTGCAGCCGCTCTCCAAATTAACCCTCGTCTTCGTACCACTAGGTTGGCCTCAAGTTTTGCACTTTTCCTAGGGATTAGGCGCATATTCTAATTTCCAGGTTGTCGTTAGCTGCTATTACACGGGTTGATCTTTCATGTAATCGTCTCACAGTTTTCCCATCGATTCTATTTCAAATGCCTTCACTCAGGTTTGACTTAGCAATATACTTCTCAAGGTAAGCGCATGTAACTGTTTCTTTCAGATCTCTCAATCTTGCCGAAAATCTCATTACCACTATTGATATGCCCGGTTTCTATGTAACCTCTACGTCGTTAGAGATCCTGAACCTCAAACAAAATCGGCTAGAATCGATTTCCCCTCAGGTTTGTTACTAGTATTTACTCCTCACATAAAAGTTTAATTTTTTATATACAATACTTCCAGTTCCTCTCCTCTTTGCCCCAGTTAACAGTGCTCGATGTTTCTCGAAATTGTCTAACTCAACTACCGGAGTTTATTTGGTTGTGCCCTTCATTAAAAGAGATCAACGCTGCATCAAACCATCTCGCATCTCTTCCCATGGTTGGCAGTGCTGCTAGATTAGGTCGTGTGACTCGAGGAGGTCTCAATCAACAACCCGCAACACCTATCAGTCCCACCAAAGCTGAATCAAGTAAGCGAATTTCTTCTTTTTTCGCTCATGTGGAATGTTGAAGTTACTCAGTTGCTCAGCTTTGAAAGGAAACTTTTGAACGAGCTTTGTGACCAAGTCCGACTTCAATTTCGAGTATCAGATAGTTTTTGCTGCACTCACTAGCCACACAAGTCTGTAGGGACAGTCGCTCCTGGATAAATTTTAGAATCATTGACATTTTTCATAACATATTGAGTGAGACTGGGGACTTTATTCTTATTCTGTGAAGTTGCATGCATCATGTAAAGAAAAATGATAAGCATCAAATGGTCTAAAGTTTTTATCTGGTTTTATCTGGCAGAATTGTTTTCCTTGGTAATATTCTTCCGACGTGCAAAGTTTTCAGTTGGAACTATTATTTATTGATGTTCCGACGTAATCGTGGTTTCCAGAGGCCTACGCGCAACTCGAGAACATTTACACGAGGTCTAAGTAAGAAGCGTTTAATTCCCTTTGCAAACTGACGAAATGTCCGAACCTTATTCAAGGTTCATCGGTGTGAAAGACTCGTTAGGGTTCCGCCTTAACGGTGTCGCCACAGGTGGAGGCGGGTATTGGTGACGAATGGGAATTCTCTATGCCTCCCTTATATTTGTTAGTTCAGATAAAAGCCTTGCGAAACTTTGGACGAATTTTGGAACTTTGTGGGTTTTTTATCAAAAACAGTCACTAATGTTATTTAGGTCGCATGCCCATATTTTGGGCAGCCTCTTGACCCCTTTCTTCCATTATTTCGACGGGTACGAAAAAAAGAATAGGTCGATTTCATTTCCGAGTCAAATGCGATCATCAATTTTTTTCTCAGGTCAGATAGTGCCTTAGTGCTCCAAATAGTTATTGCCAGAAAGCGTTAGGTCCGTTGAGTCAGCCGGGTATGGCAATAATCCCACTTACAGATTTTTTGACTTTCATTATACACGGGCGTGCTACTGTCGTGGTTTAGAAGGGCATTAAGTCTCCCGGACGTAGTCATCGTATTACATCACGCACTTTTGCTACTGACTAGCTACACTGTAGCCGTCACCATAATGCCAGTGTCCAGCAGCTCCAATAATTCATGGTCGACCGGCACGTCGCCTGTCTTCGAAAATTTTAGATTTCGAGAATTTAAAAATTAAAACTTCTTTAGAAGCGAATTTTTATACCACCGGGACACCGTCGAACTGTGAATGACATCATTCTTGAGTACTTTTTCGCCGCACCGACTTTCGTAAAATGTCCCGGCAGGAACTCGTAATTGACAACAGGTCAAATGATAGCTTCATTCAGTATGTAGTTTGATGGCCCAGTACTCTTTACATACACCCTTCGTATCCACTTCGAAATATTTTGGGATTACTTCATACTAATCAAGTTTCACTTTCTTAGTTAAATAGTTGTGTTCGGAGCATTGCAGGACTTATGTTCCAAGTCAAAACGGTAAGAGAGATCACGTTATAGAGCTGTCGAGTCATAGCCCACAGTGGGTAGTATGGGGGCAGGATATCACACATGGACGGATCCCTATCTCTGTTATTCAATGCGGCATTCCGCCGAATAATTCAGAAGGCGCCTGATGCCTTTCCTGCTGCAAATAACGTCTAATGTGTTGATATCATGCACTTCAGTTCCTCCATTTTTTGCTGTTCGAGCGCTGTTAAAAAGTTTCAGCTCCTCATACTTGTAGGTGTTGCTGAGTGATGTTGTTTTAGGGCAAGTTTATTATTTGGACATCTTGCAATTCAGCTCTGAAAAGCTCTTTTGTAATGCAGTGCAAATCTTATCGGAGATTAGACCTAGTGGTAGATTGGTTAGGTGCGAGCTTCCTTGCGTCTCAGCGCCCCGAATCCGCGGTGTTGTGGAGGGCTGTTTAGTTATCAGATAGATCACCTAAAAACCTCGTACGAAAGAAGAGATCAGCGTAATTGTAAGCATTCACTGTTTTGCTTTTGCAGTTAGTATCAGCGAGGCCCTTGATGAACCATCAAATGTTTTCACGAAACCACTTATTCGTCAAAACGTATGGCAATCCGCGATCAATCTATCCAAGGTAATTCCGAGCCCTTGTTTATTCCCTTATCATTTATCACTGTGCTCGAGTGTAGAATTTTTTGAGATCACATTAACTACACTTAAGTTTGCTTTCAAGGTGGATGATGAGAACTTCTTTCCTGATTTTCCTGTAACATCGTCTAGTACACTCACAACTTTGAATCTCTCTGCGAACAGGGTGAGTGCAGTGGTCAGATTTTGTGCTCAATTTTTACGAATAGCTATTATGAGTGAAAATATGCTGTTTTCAGTTCCAAGTGTTCCCATTCTGCCTTGCATGTACTTGTCCACGTTTGCTGTCGTTGAACATGAGCTACAACCAGTTGATATCATTACCTCCAATACAATGTATTCCTGCACATGTTCGGAATTTAGATTTTTCCGGCAATTTAATTAAGGTGGGATTTTGACTTACCACTTACTATTCATGTATTGGTCCAGATTGAGTTTCCAATTACTTTCTGTATCGATACTTTTCATGTAGTAGGATGCTTAGCAGTTGACGAGGTACCCTCAGATAGTCTGCTGTGGCCAGGCATCAGTAAGCCTCTCATTCTTCTGGGGTCGGATGATTGGTACCAGACTTGTTTGGGAGAATAAAAGCACTGACTTGTACATCGCCTGGCCACCGCAAGTCATTGTATAGGCTACATACGCACTCATTACGCCACTACGATAATAAATGGAAGTTGAACGGACGCATCCCTCCGACAGGATTGATTAACGCCCAAAGACTTTTGAGATTTTACTCTGAATAAAGATGAGAAGGATGATATCCAAAAGGCACATTTCCGGCATTTTGAGTGGCTAAAAGAAAGGGGGATATGCTTTATAACGGGGTGAAGACAAGAAAGTAGGGAAATAGAAAAGACGCGGCGCAAGAACTTCTTAAGGTAATTTCCATTTGAAGAATCGGTCGATAATCTTGGTGTGGACAATAATTAGCCTAAAGGAGCCACACAACTATTTGCTGACGCGCAATCAGCTTGGACGACATATCTAGAGCAATACCGCCCAACATCAAATTGCCCTATGCCCAACCCATCCCTAACTCGACCCGATTTCTCGGGTACTTTCTCAGGTACTATCGAACTTTCTAGAAAGACGCGAGTATATCATATATGTTAAAAATGATTTGCTGCTTTTACGCTCTTTTTTTTTACCAGCTTAACCTTCCATCAGCTTCTGGTAATTTTCTCAATTGACCCCCTACCGGACCAACCTTGGACTGGTAAATGATGACCTGAAAATTATATCTCCTGTTCAACTCACACGAAACAATGTAATGTAGCAGTCCTTTCTTTGCAGGAGCCTTTTCAATTGCCTTCTATTGTGCATACAGTTTGCCATGCTGTAACTCCTTCATCAGATTCTACAACAATTGCAGTTCGTCGCCCAAGAAGTCCTGCTAGACAGAATCGTGAGTTTGACTTCAGTGTTTAGGCGCAATCAATTATCGCCTATAAGTAATTACTGTGCATTTACTCAGGGAGTAGGTCTAAATCAGCCGTGCGCTCTCAGCGTTCGCTTTCTGTTTCCCGACATCAACCCGACATCCATATTGAAGAGGCTTGCCTGCATAAGCAACACGATACTCTAGAGTGGCTGAAGACTCTAAATATAAGCACAAATCAACTGGAATCAATTCCTATATGTTTAAAGAACAAGGTAAGAATGCAGTCAGTTGCACCGTTCGGTTGAATTTTTCTCGTGAATATGGGATGAAAAGAGCTGAAATGTTCTTTCATTTCGAAAAATATAGCAATGTTCAGGTGCTCTTTCCAAGTCTCAGCGTCCTAGATGCGAGCTCCAATGCTATAAAAGTTATCGGTGCTGACATATCACGATTGAGCAGTTTGTCCGTTTTGAACTTGACAGGAAACAAAGGGATTCAAACGCTGCCCCCTGAGCTTGGAATGCTATCACGGTAACTTCTTCATAGTCACTATTCAGACATCCGTATCCTCCAATGTGCTGTCTGCTGAACTGAAAATCCGTATCACATCGTATCATCCTATTGCTATCCAAACAAAGCTCTTTACAGGTTATGGTCTCTTTCGTTGAAAGGCTGTCAGTTGAAGGAGCCCTTGGATTCGATGGTTAATACTGAAAACTGCAAAACTGTTGAAATCGTAGCTCATTTGAAAACTATTCTCGAGGAGTGAGTCACCTTTATTCAGTTCAACTCAGCTAAGCTCGTCGATTAGCAGTCGCTCTTATGCAAATCCATTCCTTAATTTTCGTTCATCTAGTTGTAATAGCTGTGTTTCGAAAAGTTTTGATAGTTTCTTCGGTACTTTTCCTAATAAAGCTAGATATTGCTCGTAATTATCAGTATCACTCAGATATTTGTGTGGAAGTTCAAGACAGATCATGATTTCCCTTTTTATAACATTAGAACTCAGTCTTCTATTCGTTTCTGAACTATATGGCTGCAAATTAAGGTCCAAAACCTACCATCATCTTCGACTTCTAATTCTGGGAAGCGACGGGGTGGGAAAGAGTCAGCTGTGGGATGGCCTCCGATCAGAAGCTGTGCAGAAGAAATCACCCTCGCAGGTGATTTTGTTGTTAATTTCTCGAGATAAAAGAAATAGTAGTAGATGGAACGGTAGTTGTTGAATCACCTAACCAAATTCGTTTTAACTAAGTAGACGTTGAACAAAGTGTTCTTATACTACGATTTTGTTGTTAAACAAACAAGCTTGCAAGAATTTTCTCACCGTTTTTTAGAACCCCGCTTTGTTTGCAGTTAACCGGCTTCTTGCCTCGCGGCTGTATGATGCGATATCAATCCTAGCTCATTTTCCATTTCTCCACTTTTTTTAGGAAATAAAACGAAATTCTGATGGTAATGGTTTCGCTGTCATATGGTTTCGAATAACAGGGTAGGAGGGGGGGAATGATGTCTCTAATTGGGGTATTAAATGTGTTCCGTGCGAAACCAAGGGAAGGTGGTGTTGTTTTACGTGGCACACTATCACACACGCATGGTCACTTGTCCCAATCCAGGATCGATTCTCCTGACCAACCAAGCCTTCCACCCTGCCGGGGTCGGTTCATTCGTATTATACCAGATTTGTGTCTGGAAGGGTAAATGCACTGCCTTGTAAGTCGTCTGGCCACCGCACGTCATTGTACATGGAGGTCACACGTATTTGATACGCCACTTCGATTCTGAATGGAAGTCGAATGCGGGGTGCATACCACGGGATTGAACAATGCTCAAATACTCTCGTCATCCTTTATTATCCATGCGAAAGCCATAGCCGGGAATTTATTAACAACTTTGACAAAACTTTAATACACCAATAATGTTGTTGCAGAAAGTAGTCATCGAGGATCATAGCCACCAAGTATTGTAGTACTCTTCAAGTTGGATCTACAGTGGTGCTTATAGAAGGAAACATTCCAGGGCGAGAGTGTACGCATAGCTGAGTGGAAATTCGAAGCGAAGAAACAAAAGAACGAGGCTGCTCATGGTCCGATCGCGTTCTCCGCATGGGACTTTACAGGCCAGGTATGCTCCTTCGTGGTTGAACACAGTTATGCCGGAGATGTTCTTTGTTTTGACCCGCTATGGTGCAGTGTGGTATTGTTTTTAGAGGGAGTATCATGCCACGCATCACTACTTCCTCACTCGACGAACTCTTTATGTTGTTGTTTGGAGAGTCACTGATGGAGATTTGGCCCTTCATGATGTCCAGAAGTGGCTTATAAATATTCAAGTAAGCATTCCGAGGTTTTTTCTAGAAGGATTGTATACCTTGGATGCTCTATAGGCTCGAGCTCCGAATTCCTGTGTCGTCCTAGTTGGAACCCACGTCGATCAAATCTCCTCAAATCCAACAAAATTTCCTGCTGGTTTTCTTGAGGAGATTGAGAATAAGGTTGTAACTGTAGTCGTTACGCTCGATCTGTCCTCACTGATTACTACCCATCTTAGATCCGGTCCCGATTCATGATCGTCGATGCAGACAAACACGGCCTACCTCGTGTTTTAGAATTGGTTTTGGTTAACGGAAAAGCAAGAAACGATATCAAGGTGGGTCTCTTGCTGTAAATGGATGCGTAAATGCTCATGTGCAGAAGACTGTTTCTCCTAATTAACTTTTCGTTCGAGTTCGAGGTTGATCATGGCTGACTTCGACCTGGTTGATGATAATTTTTAGAATCTGTTGAATGTAATCTACACCTCTGGCTGGGAAGTAAGAATCGGCAAAGAACGTGCCCTAGACCAGCAAATCCCATCCGCTTACATTGCTATGTTGAAAGTGAGCAACGAATCTTTTTTAAAACTGGGCTTTTCAAATTTCTTCCGTAATTACTCTATATTTCTGTTTATGAAGGTGGTTCGTGAACTGCATGCTGATTTACGGAAAGAGGCAACATCCGCTATAATGACAGCTGAGCAGTTTCGCGAACGGACGAAGCAACGGATGATTTCGAAGTTTGGACGAACTTTCAGGTAATACCCACATTTAATCAATAGACGATCAAGCTCACAATAGTCGTTTTATTTTCAAGTGAAACGTGTCCGCAAAACCTCATCAAACAACAATCTCAGAATTATGGAGCAATTCCGTTTCAATACGTTTCAGTGGTGTACTGATTTCATTGTCAACCAAGAATTACTCGTATTTTGTTGTTTATAGGGATGACATTGAGTTCCGTGGTGTATGTGCATTTCTTCACGATAGCGGTGAGATAGTCCACTTCGAGGATGCTGCACTGCGACAGCTCATCTTTGTGGATCCTCTTTGGCTCGCCGACTATCTGGCTGCTATTGTCGCACTGAGGTTGGTTGTTATCAAAGTAAAAACTCAAGTTACTCTAAATCGTTGGATCACTTCTTCCTTTTTCCCATTCCAGGTCTCCTCATCGCGCAGCGGGTCTTCTATGTCAGGATGCATTAGTGCCCTTGATAAAACAATTTCGTTGTGTTGGATTCGGTGCGCCATTACGAGGATCGCTGCTAGATCTGCTTCAGAAGTGCGAGCTTGCACTCCCATGCCTAGCTCGCCTACTTGTTGTACCAGCTCTTTTACCGGACGAGTATCGCCTCAGAGCAGATTATCATACAGCCTGCGTAAAAGTGAGTTATCGAGGTCATGGAAACAACTTCATCTTATGGTTACATTAGCTTTCATCTCTTGCTGAAAATGTAAGCCATATTTTTGGTAATTCCTAGAATTCGTGTGATGATAGAGAAATGGATTATCAAAGGTGGATCACTTCTACAGAGTTGAACAATTTTCTGCAGTAGACACTTCTGCAAAGGAGTTGCCCAATTTTTACAAAAATGGATCAGAATTTAGGTTCCTGAGACTAGCAGTAAGGATTATTCATTTGAGAAGATGACGTGGAAACTCTCATTGTTAGTATTCATTTGTTTGGGGACGTATTGAAGTCATTCAAGGAATCGAATCTCCGCTAGTCAGAGTCTTTAATCCCACTGATTGTTAAACTGGGAAGAACGGAAACTCCCATTATGCGAGGACTCTGTTCATGAACCTTCAACTTTGCCCGGTTTCGCTTTCAGATGCTCTTCACTGTCTTCAAATTGGGTTCAATCGCTTTGAGTGACCGAAAGCACCTTGCAGATGTAGGATGCTTAACTTTTTTTCAGGTCTCTGCCAAAATTTCTTCATGGAGTATCAGATCACCTGCAGAAGTTGTTTCCCACCCTCCACTTGCCAGAACCGTCGTCAGCGGATGGCAAAGGTGAGTTGAGAATCAGTTCACTCTTGCCTAGCCTAATATGGTCCTAATCCTCTCCTACTACTTCTTTACTAGTCTTATCCTTATTCAATCTTTAGATCTNACTGTCTTCAAATTGGGTTCAATCGCTTTGAGTGACCGAAAGCACCTTGCAGATGTAGGATGCTTAACTTTTTTTTCAGGTCTCTGCCAAAATTTCTTCATGGAGTATCAGATCACCTGCAGAAGTTGTTTCCCACCCTCCACTTGCCAGAACCGTCGTCAGCGGATGGCAAAGGTGGGTTGAGAATCTGGTCACTCTTGCCTGGCCTAATATGGTCCTAGTCCTCTCCAACTATTTCTTTACTAGTCTTATCCTTATTCAATCTTTAGATCTATGGAACATCCCCCACTCTCACCGAAAAAGTCCGTCAATGGCGCCATTATCAGTGAGGCAGTGTTCGCGTTTTCTTTTCATCAAGAAAAGCAGCTGCGCCGTTTGTATGCTATGTCGTATATTCCAGCGGGCTTCTGGAGTCGCCTAATCACGAGGTATCCAAGTAGGAATGAGGAAATATTATCTGAACATCGATAGATCAGTCCTTGCTCGTGTTTGTGTCTTTCATTGAAGTCGCTACTTGCCTGGAAAAGCAGCTGTAGAAAACGGGTCAAACGGGTCAGGCTTAGGATGGGTAAGGCGCAGGAAAAGACAAACAGAACACGCATCAGCTTAATGGAGCCCTAGTTAAGCGAAACGGGCGGGGCATGCTTAAAAATGGGCCTTGCATAGAGCTGAACTGTTCAAGTAAGCACTATATTTGTTCAGTGACGAACGAAAGTGAGCAGCGTCTTAAAGAATCGAGATCATCCGTTAAAGAGGTTATGCAGACATAGTAATACATGAATTTATAACTCGATTGTAGGAATACTTAGGTGGGTGCTCTCAGCTGGGAGATGCTCGCTACGAAATTTTGCAACAGTGTGTGAGGCGAGTGCAGGGAGAAAGCGAAAAATCCGCCCTGCCGGCAGATAGAAAATTTGTTGATACATTCCGGTAGAATAATGTCTTAATCGTGCAGAAGCTTGTTAGTCGGTCTTAGAATACGTTTTGGAGAAGTGGAAAAGATTTATGAATTTATTTTTCCGCTAGTAATAGGATAAGACATCGCGTGGGTAGGGATAGTTACGCAAGTTGAAATATTGCAGGGAAAGGAAGTCTCCCAACCACTAAATAACGATTGACGCTAGAAACAAATGGATTTTGTTCATTGTTTATTAAGTCCTCTTTCAGGATCATTGGAGACGAAAATGTGATGCGAGCTGTCGAGTGTATGTTTGCAACAAAAGTCCGCAGTGATGTTGCTCGGCTTCAGCCGATCTGTGACAGTCAGCTGAAAGCGGAATGGATCATATGGCAGACAGGGATAGAGGTTCGCAGTTTTTAAAATCAACATCAACCTGAGACCCCTTGGCATTAATTTAATCACGTTCATTTTTCGCGTTTTTAGCTCATGATCAAGGGTCATTCGGTCTTCGTTCTCAAGCAATTCTATGCGCAGGTGAGTGTTTTGTTACTAATCAGATATTTTTCCAAACAACAATTGAAATCCTAGGCAGAAGTTCGTGACCTGGACTATACGCTTTTAAATTTCCGAACACGTGACGAACAGAAAAGGTGGCGGACCTTCCCTCTTGATCAATATGCTCTTGTGGAAATGTTGTTCCCTGCCTTGAGGTGAGAGTTCAACTTCTATAGCATCTGTTAAGTTTAGTCGGTACAGTCTCTTTAGGCGATGTTTGCCTTCTAGTGGCTATCCTTATTTGTTTGGAGAACTTTTTTTACTACGTTGCACGTAGCCCTCCATATGTCAAGGCCATAATTGTCCCAGTAATGTTGTGATCACCCTCGAAACTTTCGTTAAGCAGTAATATATGTGTTCGGTCCAGTCTTCATTCACGAAAGTGCACTCTTACCGAAAATTTAATGGTACATATCAGTTTCTCGACTTTTGTATTTTCCTAGAATTGTGTTTTTAGTGTCACGGTAACCGACAAAACGCATAAAATGGTAATGTCTACAGAGGGTGAGGGATCGACCAGACTTCTGGCCTTGGTAGTGGATCTTCTCGACACCTTACTTGAAGACTGGTGCGTTGATTATAGTCAAGGATACTTGCATAAAGCGATTCCCTTTTTTGTATTTTTCAGGTATCCAGCGATTGGCACACGATTCGTGCACTCATCGGAGGGTGATTTGCTGGTTAACCGTTTCGTACCATGCTCCAAATGTGCAAGTGAAATTACCACGGAAGTTCAACACGCCCGTGACGATGCTGATCTCACCTCAAAGAAGAGCACTTCGAGGTTGTTTCACCTGTCAAAACTGACTATTTTTTCTATTGTGAAATCTCATTCTTCAGCGTGCGAGGTTCGAAGACCACTGGTGACATCTCAGCTCTGTACGTCATACATTGTTTCTCGATTGAGGAATGCATGCTAGCAGGTCTTTGAATTGCGAAAACGGGCTAGATATCTCTTAAACAACTTTTCATTAAAAAAAAAACGTTTGCTCCGAATTTTCGTCTTTTCTCGGAGCTTCCTTTACAAACAAAACTCCTATGTAAACTTAAGGTTCCTCTACTCCCCTTAGCTGGTATGTATATCGTATATATTTAGGTCGCGAATATGGTTGGCTTGAGTGTCCCTCGCACAGTGGTGTGCACATGAGAGATGTAGCCCCAGACACGGTAGGTATGATCAGAAATTATCAAACAATAACAATCTCAGAAAAGCGTTTAACGGAACATATTAGTTTCTAAGAGATTTTCATCTGGTGTCAACTTCTATGTTAATGCCGTCTTTCAGGTTTTCGTCGATATTGAATCATCTTTGGTAATCGGAACTGACCAAATTAGACGAGGAAGGCTATTGGGACGAGGCGCTTTTGGATTTGTTTTCAGAGCAACGGTGAAGTTACAGGTGGGTGCAAATGAGCTATTACAGTTATCTTACGTGCTACTGATTCATTTCGCTTATAGAGTAGTGAATTGTGTGAAGTTGCTCAGAAGATGTTGGAGCCAGTAGATCCTGGCCCAGGCGCTAGGCCGACAGCTCTCGCTGCATATAAAGTGAGTTTATAAGTTTTCTTCGTAGTAACGCAAGTAAGAATTTGTTGATGAAGCCGCCGTGATGACTGTGAAAAGTTGGTCTCTTCCCAAATATTCGGTTTTGATTAAGGTTTTAAAATAGACGGCGGAGGTGCATGGAGTAATTGACACCTTTCACCTCTTTTCTTCCTTCCTTCCATCTGTATTTTGCCAGCCAGGGTGGGGGGTGGGTCATATCCCCGACAATCGCGTCGCGTCGCGATCGTCACACCCGTCACGCCCGATCGCGTGCAGTAGTGCGTTATGAATGGAAAGTTGAAATCCTAATGGAAAGACAAGTAGCCGCTGCGGAACCGCTGCCGCTTGTCCTAGAAACTCGGTGAAGAAAAGCTCGGCCCCATTCGCTGATAGGGATATATGTAGTTGGAATAAGGGGTTTTCCGTTTGTCAGTCGAAAGTCGACGAGTTTCCCAAAATAATTGTACAGGGTATTAGTGAGAATATTTTTTAGACTTCGTTATAAGTGAACCCACCGATTCAAGCTGAAAGGCGTGAGAGATTTCTTTGATACCCAGAGGCAGTGACATAGAAGTTGCGTAGAGGCTTCGGAAATCCTATGTGGTTTGGGTTCAAAGTTACATCACAAAATTGAAGGCTGGTGCTGACAAGTGGCGTCGCGACTCGCTCGAATTCGCTTCGAGAGCTTATTGCACTTCACGGCAAGAATTAAACCTCCTCAGTCGACTACACCACACCAACATCATTGGCCTGATGGGGGTTTGTCTGATTGTCAATGTTGTATTACATTCTTTACCTGTCAAAACTGTTTTCCAGGTTTGTGTGTCGCCGTTATCGTTAGTAGTGGAACTTGCCCCCCTCGGCGCACTGAATCAGTTACTAGCGAGCCATCGCAAAAGTGGAGCTCGCCTCGGGTTGTCTGTTCTGAGAGACTCTGCTGTTCAGGTAAGCAGTCAGGGGCAAGTGTGCTTTTTTAAAAAAATTGCTTTCTCCAGGTAGCAAAAGCTTTGGAATACCTTCACGCTGCTCACATAATATACCGTGATCTTAAAAGCGAGAATGTTCTGGCATGGAGATTTCCTTCACCGTTCGCGGCTATGACTGACGTTCTGCTGAAGCTTGGTGACTATGGTTCGTGGTTGTGTTATTCGGTTTTGTCGGCTGTATAAATATTTAACGTTTAGGGATATCTCGGACTGTGATGCCATCCGGCGGAGCTAAAGGGTTTGGTGGCACCGAAGGCTTTATGGCGCCTGAGATTGTTAGGTTCAATGGAGAGGAGGAGTATACACAGAAGGTCAGGGGTATTATACATTGAGAATTTGGCTAGGCAAATGCTTCGCTGTTTAGTTTATAAAAATTTTGCTTTGAAAGACCTTCGTTGTTCAGGTTGACTGCTTTTCATTTGGAATGTTTTTATATGAACTGATCACCCTGAAGCATCCGTTCGAAGGGCAGGAACATGTCAAGGAACGTCTGTTGGAAGGAGCTCGTCCCGTGTTCCTACCACATGTTAGTTTCAGCTACATCTCAGCGTTGCCTCCTCATAAATACTGGGAATACCTGAAGCTTTACCGTACTTTCGAATCTATATTCTTCAGGAGTTGCTAGTACCGTCACCAATGTTAGATTTGGTTGTTCACTGTTGGGCGACTTTACCAGACGATCGGCCTTCATCATCTCAACTTGTGGGATACTGCTCTGCTCCGGAGTTCACCCACATACTTGATGTTTGTGAACTCGAAGGTTCGACCAGCTACATCTCTGAGACTTCTTTACTTCCTCCTATTTCGCGTTGAATGCCTTTCCTCTTGAAATAATTGTTCAGAAGCTCTGCCACCTTCTTCCGTTTTACCGTATTACACTGGGGACGACATGGATGACCCAGATGATTTTGAGGCTCAGCTTTGGTTGGGTGGCAAAAATATAACCGTTATGAGCTGCACACAATATGGATGGCTGGATCAAAAAGTGATCTCTCGCTCATTATCCTGATAACCTGATAACCAATGAACACTTTCTTTTCTAGGTAATTGAGACTGCTTTCCGTGCAAGGTTCACGAATCGAGTCCGTGACACAGTTTGGTCCTGCGATGAAAGTGGGGAAGTGACGGTATTTGCCACATCGCTGCACGAGTTGACAAGATTGCAGTTGCCTTCACTCACAGCACCTATTGTTAGTCTGTTTCGACCTATAAGTTTTGAAAAAAGATATTTTCCCTACTGGCTTTGTTTACAGATTCGCGCCCCAGAATTGATTGGATCCGACGTTCTTCTGCTGGTGACTGGACGGCAATTGGTACTTCTCCGATTGAGCGACTCGAATTCGGTGACGTTGCTTGCAGCCCTTGACAGCCCGTTCACGATTAAAAACGCAGCCGTCGTCGTACAGGCCAGCAACAGGTATCGAAAGTTCCCATTTTCAGTTAACAAATCTACCTATTAGTCGCCAACCTTTCTTCTCCTATTTATTGTGTAGGCAAATTTGGACTGGCCATTCTGAGGGACGGATATCAATACATCATCTCAGCCAAGAAGACAAGTTTTCGTTCTCTTCCTCGTTATATTTGCCGGAAGAAAAAGTTATTGTCCGAGACATTGTATCTAGCAGGGATGGAAACAATGTATGGGTAACAACAGAAGGAGGTATTTTTTATCATCCACATTAACTGTTCATTCACTACATACGGTTTTCTGTTCTATTTTAATATATCGCTTTACACTTACAAAGGTTCTCGAGTGTTCTGTTGGGACGTAGAGCGACGTCAAATCTGTTCCTCTCTCGATATCCGCAAAGTGATGCCCGGTTAGTTTTCTTTCAGCATCGAGGACTCTATTTTCTAAATCCATTTTACTTGCTAGATCTTTTGAATTTTCCCTCTCTTGATTTTTTTATGCCTTTGCCTTTCGATCACATGTTCCAACGGCAAAACGTGCTTTTTAAGGTAGCGAGACTATTCATACTCTGGATGTGGAATTAGCAGAAGACAATTTTGTTACAACTATAGCGCTTCACGAGTGTTCAGATGGTGCGCAATTGTATGTTGGAACAAGCAAAGGTCTCCTTGTTGTTGCGAATGCTTTGCTGGTAAGCTTAGTAGAATACGCTTATCAATGTTTCTGTGCTCAGCCAATGTCTTAAAACGTGGAGGAGCTGCCAAACCGTTTTGAGTTATACATAGTTCATTGAGTTACTATTGAGTTGTTGAGTTAGTAAGAGAATAACTAGATGAATTGCATATTTCTTTGGTTTCAGTTACAGCCACTATCAGCATGCCGACCATATGGTGGTGAATTGACATCAATTTGTGTTGTCGAGGGAGCTCGTGATGAAGAGCTGTCTTTTAAAGGTATGATTCTCGCTTTTGTTCTCTCATCTGGGCTTCTAGGATTTCTTCACATATGGATCGTTTTTTTTTNTTTTTTTTTCTTGATGAGAATCATTTTCTTTTTAAGTTCGGAGTACTCTTAGTACAACGTCTTCTGAAAGCGGCTTGGGTTGGGTTCGAGAACGAGTGAGTGAGACGCTAGAGAGAATCCGTGGAAGTCCTGCACCATTAGCCGGTCAGGGAACCGCGGCTGTCGTCACAATCGGCAGAGCTTTTCGGTAAGTATCTCAGGGTCTCAGTTATCTCACAATATAAGAATACAATAAGAATTAAAGAACTCTGTAATGAATTTTTCTTGGAGTATCTCCGTACTGTCTATTTAGAACTCGTATTTTTAGGAGTCTCTCCCACAGATTTGTCGCATCGTCATCGTTGAACGATACATACTCCGTCGCGATTTGGAGGACGGAGGAGTGGGTCTGAGCTAGTCAACCGCTTATTTCTGCCCATTTTGACTTTTTTGAGCATTTTTTAGGTTGGGTATTAATGACGTTTTAGACACATTTAGCTGTAAAACCGCTTTAAATCCCCTTAGTTTATAGTATTTTGTGATATACATAGGTTCTAAGTCAGCCCATCGATTGTTGCATAAAATGCGTGGCTTAATGGAATCTCAGAATTTTCTCGTCATTTACATTGTACGCTTTCAAAGTGCGCCAAATTTTGATTCTATTTTGTAGAGCGTTTAGTTATTGTTAGAAGTCGGCACAGGTCAATTTAGCATCTCTACAGAGATGTTTGGTTTTTTGAACCACGGTGTATTGTTGCTTCTTTCCACTTATTCCTTCGTTGTTTTGTTTCTGTCGCATTCCTACCATGATAAATGTTGTGATTGGTACATGGAAAACTTCTAGTGATAATACTTCAACTGTATTTTGAATCAGATTTGTTCATTCATTTGAACCAGCCAACGTATAAACTGCATTGGTCTTATTCAGTGTGATGGCCCCGAAAAAGCAAGGCTTCAAAGTCAACGGCCTTCATAGTTTCGTTCGAGGATTGATAGACATGAAGGTCTGTGTAGAATTGAGAGCAGGCACGTTCGCCGTAGGTAAGTAGGTATCGATTGAAATGCTTATTTGTGTGGTTTTCCTGTTCAACTTGTAGGACCCAAGAGAATGCGTAAATAGCTTCCTGACTAGAATCACCGTATGTTGTCTTCCGTGTGATCTGGTGTGCAAGTCGGAAGAGGACATCGGCATTGGACGCATCAAACCGATTTTGCTTATAAGACAGTCGCGATCGTTTCATATGTTGTTAGCAACTAGCAAGAATGATCTTTGGTAAAGCCTACAGCTGACATTACTTCAGGGCTACACTCTAACGGGGGGTGTAGCAACTTGTGTGCGACCATAAGAGAAGCGTGGTGATCCCAGTCAGTGACGCCCTAGGTCTTCGTTTCCTTATCTCTTCTGCACTCATTTTACGCATCAAGTATAGAATTTAGCGCTGGACGATGGTCCGATCCTATGTAGGACTTCAGAAAAGGCGACGACAGTCAGATAAAAATTTGATCGAACATGTTGCTACGTATTTCATTACGAAACCGTCTACTAAATGACTCTCCTCTCCTTCGCAAATAAAAAGGCCTCTGGAACTGCGAAGTGCCATGGATGACGTTGATCGATATAATAAATTCGGACAGCCTTTCACCCTACCCATTCCATTCCGTTTGGTATGTCTTGATAGGTAGATCTTCAACCGTTGTTCTGGGTGCAATTTCCGCGTTGAAATTATCGACGGTAAGCTTGAAAAAATGTGATCTACTCTGGGAAGCTTCTCCATTCCCTCATGAAACGCTCCCAGCTCCTCTTGTTCGTAGCTTGTTGTTAATGCGTATTCAACAAGATTGTGAAGCTGAGGTTGAGCAATATCTTCTCAACCACCCCGCCCGATTCGGATTGTCGTGCTTTCGATGTACATGGTAAAGTGCCTATTGACAAGGCACCTACACCGTTGTCGCATGTTCTGAGGAACAGTTCATCTCCAGTTTCGGAAACGGCGTTCAAGGGGCGATGATTTTTCGTCGCGGGCCGTCCGATGACGTCGTACTTGATCTTCCTGGTTTGCATCATCAGATGTTCAATTCAAGCTTCTGATGCAAGCGTTCCTGCGTTGAGTTGACAGATCGCCGTCTCACCGCAGTTTTTCTTCTCTCAGCCAATTTGGTATTACCCTGCGTTTTAAGCAGTTTCTCCCAAGCAATGTTACCAAATTGGCGTTCACTTAGGTTTGGGAAAAGAGGGCCGTTTATATTGCTGTATTTAGCATATGGGTACTACCCAAGAGTGAATTGCTATGGCTTGGAGGTTGGGTGGGCCTCTGAGTACTAATGAAACCATTCAGAGTGGACAAAGAACTTATTCATACTAGGCATTCCCAAATCGCCACGCAGGTGTTCTCTTCATTATGCCATTTCTCGCTTGCTCGACCTGTACCTTCATTGATACAATCACTTACAAAGAGGGCTTATAGTCCCGAAAAAGGGCCGCGCTATAAAAATCCGAAATTTTGAACGCATGCAGTTTTCTAGGGCATCTGAGTACGATCCATGAAGAGCTTCAAGTAGATTTAATAAGTGATTGATGGCCTTGCATATCTTTCTTATCAAACACTCTCATCCTTTCGAAGTCGCATGGGACAGAAAAGAAAGTTAAACAGTGGTCGAGTCCTGCAAGCCATCGGGACCAATTCGAAGTTAGAGCAGAGATCATTAGTGATCATCATTAGTGACAGAACATACCAAGACATGGTAGGAGCTAGTTAAACATCCAAGCAAACAAGACTGTGATGTTTTCTATTTGAGGTATTCTGCAAGATTGCGATCAGTATCTGAATCTCCGAATTCGTGATGCCCTCATTTTACATGCACGCAGGAAAGAACATGTGGACGAGTTCTTCATTTGTGGACGCCATTTAAGGTTACTTATTTTCCTTAGCGGTGATCGTGTCCATTTAGAGGCACACTTCATGATAGAAAAAATTTCTGGATTTCGCGCAAGAATTTGTCTGTAGCCCTCAAGATTAGTACATGGGCCGTTGTCGGCCGAAAAATGGGCTAGACAGGGCATATTAAGGGCTCCAAATAGTTTCGGCAACGCAGATATTCAAAGTGGCCACGTAATGCCGACGGTGGTGTAGTGGCAAGTGGCGCACTATCTTACACGTACGGTCAAGGGTTCAAATCCCGGATCAATGCCTGCCTAGACCATCCAGGTCTTCCATCCCTCCGGGGTCGGTTAATTGGAACCAGCTTCGTCTGGAAGGATGAAAACATTGACTTGTACACGACGCTGTACACTCGACTGGTCACTGTAAGTCATTGTATAGGCCACACACGTACTCATTACCCCAATACGATTCTGAATGGAAGTCGAGGGCGGGGCGCATCTCTTAGACGAGATTGATTACCGCCAAAAACTTCATCCTAACTTTACCCTTTGGATGTTTTGTTCATAAAACTCAACAGTTTTCGTTTTCTTCGTCACCCTTGCACTTTCTACTCCATGGCTTCCATTACTCAACTCAAAATAGATATCTCAAAGTTGTCGTGAACTATGGTTTTATAGGCACAGTTCACGATAATCTTGGGTAATCCAGATTATAACGAATAATGGAAGGTAAGATGGAAAATAGTGTGCGACGGCGAAGAGACTGCGTCAATCGGGCTCTCCAAAGTGAAAAAGCACCGAAAAAATCGCTAAGAAGGGGCTGGACGAGAATGGGACTAGAAAAATGAAGAAAGGGCGTTTGGACGAGCTGTACAATGTGTGCACTGTGTACATGTGGGTCCTGATGCGAACAACTGTCTGCAGTGGGCAAAAATTCACTCACTTGTTAGCATAAGTTGGCAAAAACCCTCGTAACAGCAAAAATAGCCCACATTTTTTTAGCCTTTTGCTTTGGAAAAGTAAATAGCAGCAGCAAAAAAAGAATAAAGGAATAGCAGAAAAACATCGCCTCATTACATCGCAATCAGCTGATTGTGTGGGGGTCATAGAGCGAATATTGCAGTCTGTATCGCCTCGACACTCGTCTGACGTGACATCGATCGAGGGGCGGGAAGGCCGCGCGAACCGGTAACTGGGCTCCCACCATGCCATAGTTGTTGAGTTATGCGACTCGACAGCGTCCTTCCTGTTAGCCTTAGAGGCCACTGGGTATTCACAGGAGGAGAACTCAGTAACCATTTTTATCGCGAACTGTGCCTTTAAGGGTATGGTAAAACTAGGGTTAAATATACCGCGCCATATGTCGGTTGTACACACTCGCTCACGCCTCTTATACTGATTTTTCTGACCATGCGCTGACTGCATTGATAGTGCTGCAGTTCTGCATTTCTTGCAAATGATATGCTACGAAACAATCTTTTTTTTAGGTATATTCACCTAACCCGCTACGTCGATGTAACTGAAGCGATTCGTAAAAGTTGTTCTAAACCTTCGAAACGACAAACATCAAACAAACAAACATGTGAACCACAAAGGGTGCAGTGATCTCGAAGAATAAAAGATTGTTAACGAGGTTAACGACCTTTTCAGCAGAATTTGCTTAAGTAATAAGGCCAAAGATCAACAATTTATATATTCAACAAATGGAACTCTTCATATACTCAACAGTTGAAACTCAACAACGTAATGTACATAATAAAATGAAGCAAACTCAACAAAGTACCAACAATCTTAAAAACTCTGATGTCGTGCCTCGAGGTGAAACTAAATTTAATTTGAATTTGTTTGTACTGTCATTTCAAACCATTGCCGAATGGATTCAGCAAGCACTGACGGAAGTTGGGTGACAGTTTTTACGATGGCGTAAAACGGAAATGGGAACGTCGCTAGGTAAGGCGTCAGAACCTAAAGAAAATAGTATCTGCTGCTAAAAAGACCATACAAAATGGTAGCCTAACAACTAGATCGGTACAGATTTCGCTGTGAAATGGTGTCATCAACACCAGGTTAATGTTATCCCGTTGGCTTAGCCTTCCAAGATATAAGCAGCACAGAAGGCAGTGGAATACTCGCATATGGGCATGGCTCTGACCCCGGCTGCTGCATGCATTCATCCTAGTTGGCCTCTGGGCCAGGTCATCAAGCTCGCTCAACCTCACGTATTCATGTCACGGTGCAACATTTAAGGAGTATTCAAATTCTGAGGGCAGGGACGTCGATGCGACCGCGGACTCGTTACAAATTTGGGATTAATGCCCTAAACCAAAATCCAAGATTTACTATTATTCGTAGAGCATAGGCAGGTCGGAGATGGTGTAGTGGCAAGTGGCGGACTTCACACACGCACGATCACGGGTTGGAATCGCAGATCGATATTCGCCTGGGCCAACCAGGACTTCTATCCCTCCGTGGTCGATTCACTGGTGCCATACTCGTCTGGGAGGATAAAAGCGCTGATTTGTACATCGGCTGACCACCGCGAGTCATTGTATAGGCCACGTAAGCATTCAATTCGTCACTACGGTTCTAAATGGAAGTCGAATGCGTGGGCGCATCCTTCAGACGGGATTAATTAACGATCTGAGTCTTTAAGGCTTTATCATCGAGCATGAGCAAATGTGATTGGGAACAGCGCCCTGGGCAAGAAAAGTGATTGAAATATCTACACTAAAGGCAGATATACCAAAACAGCGATGTGTTGCTGCGATGAAGCGTCTCAAAGCTTCCTTTTCGTGCTTCTCAGCTCCAATCGGCGCCTGATGTTACCCAGTCTATGCTACCTCAGTTCGTTCACTAATGAACTGTACCTGTAGCCTGACCTGCTAATAAATATAAATCGCTCGCATTCCTGAGTTTCCAGCCTGTCTTTTATGGATTCCTATCTTTTAGGAAAAAGTAGTTTTATGAATTTTATACGAGAAAGTCAAGTGAGCAACGTACCACATCACCGTCTTTGAAGGCGGCCACCGACAGATCGCATATAGATTTGGGACCGGAATCGAGAATGACAAATAACACAGTCACATCCCGCAAGGAAGCCAGAGCAGCCTTCACCTGCACATCGACAATTTAAAAAGTGTAATGCCGATGAAATTTTACAACCGAGACAGTACTTTTTTGGCTCCTTGAGCTAGAGCTCCTCTCCCATCGGAGATGATTATGAGGAGCTGCTCGCTGGTCGGCGTTCGCACGTCACCAAGCAATTGCCGCGTGCGGTTGAGAAGCAGCAGGAGATCCGTGGATGACTGNTTGAAGGATAGCTAAAGGAGTAAGGATAAAAGTAGAATACCGCTGTTGAATAGCCAAAAGCACATTACCTTCTGCAGAAGTTCTGGGCCTGGCGTCATGTGATCACCGAACGCGCTGATGACCTTCAATTCACTTCCGAAAGAACATACTGAAACGTCTCCAGCGTCGCATCTTCGTAATGCGTCGTCGACAATGCACACAGATTCACAAGTTACCTGAAAAGAAAACTATTAGAGTGTCCCATCAGCTGCCAGACCACTTTGAACTTTGACCTTAAAAGCACAGTTCTCGATAATTTGAAGTACCCTTTTTAGGTTGGAAAGCGGAAGTCTTGAAGTAATGTAGGGCTTCGGTGGCGAAGAAAGCGAGAAAATACGCCTACTCCAAGCTTTTTAGAAGTAGTGGAAATGGAGGTTGTACGAGATCATGGCGACAAGAGTGGCATTACGGGGTTTTGGACGAGATTTGACTTGCCCCATCGGGCAAAGAGCTAACTACATCAAGCCATAACTGTCCAAAATTGCCTTTCACTGTCGATATGGGTCATGACAAGTTGTTTGAACTTCCTACATGATTTCCTTGGGAATAATGCAGCCTCTACAAAGCCGTTGAAACTCGTCCGCGATGGGTGTTTCATTCACACGATACAATCTCTAGTTCATTATTGTGCCTTATCCAGAACTTTCTTCGCCCTCATACCGACAGGTATCGTACAAGGGGGAGCCTCGAAATCATACTATGACAGAATCTCAGAAACCATTTTTATCGTGAACTGTGTCTTTTAAAGTAGAGCGTTAAGTGCCTCATATTACGTAGTGATTAGTTTTCGCGATTATCCGCGATAGTAAAAACATATCAAGAAGGTGCCCCGATCAAGAGGAAGGAAAAATATAGTTCTGAAATTAGAGCATTGCATTGCTGAGCACCGAGTCTTTGAGCGCGATGCGTTTATGACCCCACCATTTCCTCAAGATGTGATGTATATTTGAGGGCAGTCTCAGTTTAAAAAGCGTCTGACTATGGTATAAGTATAATACTGTAAGGGGAATCTTTTCTTCAAGTTGGATTGAACAGAACGTTCCTTACATTGATCCATTCAGTTCCACCAGAATATTGCCTTCTTGATTACCGAGATGCAAATGTAAAATGAGCATAATCTGAGAAAAACTACACAGCCAAGATGGAATAAGTAGAATGTATTTAGCAAATTATTCGCACACACATGACTTGAGCACGACACCACTCGTGAAGTGAGTCGGTGGTGTATGTTTGGTGCGCAATTCACAACTACTGCTCTTCACCACAAGAGCATCGAAACTCGTGAGGGGTGCGGGCGATCCGATTGGATTAGAGGAAGCACTTTGATATTGGTGTTAGCTAGCAATCGTAAAAGGAGGATAAATGTCATTTTTCTTTGATTAAGCTCATGAACTCTGACTTCTTCCATTTCCAAAAATGGTAAGATGAGTGAAAAATAACTCTTACCTGATGAATGCCATTCTCGTTCATGCTAGCAGAGTCGTCCACTGCGATGAGCACCTAAATATGAAATTATCAGTTGTTATTAGTTACTGGTTAAATTAACAGTGACTAAAACAGTTTTAATAATAGTAGCTACCAGCTTTTTCGAGAAGGATCAATAGGATTACAGAAGGTGAGCACAACATTACTAATAACAAACAAACAAACAGCACAACAGCAAACAGGTTAGCGACTAACCTGGTAATCTCTTTGAGCTTTTTTGGTTCTTCGCATCCAAATACGATCTTTTCTGTATTCGCTAGCGATATAAGGGATTAGTCGACGCATATTCAACCGTTTCCCTGTGCGATAACCACCCCTAAAAACACAAGTGGATGAAGCACTTCAAAGCCAGAAGCGAAGCAAATAACGACAGACGTACTGCATTTTACTTGCTCGCTGAGGCTCTAGAATCAAGCGAAGATTCTCGGCCAACTCAGCTGCCAGAATACCGACAGTCTGGCTCATCGTTGTCCACATCTGTTCTGCGTCAACCAATTTTCGCTCATCAGAGTTGGCTCGCTCTACAGATTCAGCACTTTCTTCTCTTTCTGCGCTCACAGTGAGTTCTTTCGTCAATTTCTCTGCCTAGATGAAAACTTAGATAATCTTGTCGATTGTTTACAAACTGGAAACATAAGAGAAGGCCTACCAATAAGAGAAGAGAACATACCAAATTGAACATTTCTTCGGGAGCTAGGTGAATGGCTGCCTGGCGCTCCTCAATAGCGTCGCCGTCGTGCTGCAGAGGTCCGTCAGCACTCTCTTCTATGCCTTTTGAGGGTTTCTTGTGTTCCTTTGACTGTTTAGCTGTATGATCCTTCCTAGACTGCTTGGCCTCCTCAAGTGATCCTGCTCCGAGCATCTGCATACAAAACCACTATACATTTGTGTAATTTCTCTCCTAGAAATAAAATGTTGGGAGTGGAATCCCCTTTTCACAGGAGGAAAATGCTCGATCTCATAACCGTTTTCAAGATGCTCACCGGGAAAATTAATGTAAAGGTCGATGATTTTTTACTATTCGACGCACAATTATGAGAGGAGAGAAAAACAAGCTTTTCGTACCAAAACCTAGGACAAGTAGAAGAGCCAGGTTCTTCACTACAAGGGCGGTTGCTGAATATTCTAAGCTAACTAAAAAAATTGCTATGCCTCAAAGTATAATACAATTGAAAAACATCGTGCGGCGTTATCTTAAATGAGGACATTTTGGGACTCGGTCGGTGATAAGTTTTCTTACTATGCTCCTGCTACCTAGCACGTTTTATCCACAGTTTTATCTGCAATTACCTTTTCCCATTTTTCAAGTACTTTTTGTTGCAATGTTCAATGTTCATCTTTTTGTTCGCTGGATTTTAACTTGTGTTTTTTCCCATGAGCCAGACACATGCAATAAATCTAAATCTAAATTTCTCTAAAACTGCACATCGGTCAAAAAATTGAGTGAAATTATTATTATTGAATTAATAAAGTTATTAGTATTAAGCTATATTATGAAGACTTTTGAAGGAATCTCACTTGAATTTCTATGAGCTACTATTGGGCTATCCGAAAAGTTTCCGCCGAGTTTTGACACCCCAGATTTATCAACCGTTGTGCAAAAGATCAAGGACCCAACCTAATAAAGTTATATGTTTTCTGAAAGAGTAGATCCTCCTCTATATTCCTGTTAGGATTCTGTCAAGATTTGCCGAAGTTTCTGTGTACAGGACTAGTATGAAAATGGAGAACTACTGCGCGCATTTTCGACAACTGAAGTATTTCTTCTACCGCAAGGCCTAGAATGCGGCTCAACCCGCATGAAAGACATATGACGTTTGAGTAGACCATGCCCTAGAAGAACGTACAGTGCATGACTAGTTTGCGGAATCCAAACAGAGTGAATTTGCCTTTGAAGACCGACAAACCTTAGGGAGACNATCATCAGTTTAAACGATCAACTCAAAATGCTAACCGAAGCAAATCGACACATCACTGCTCGTGGAGTGGGACAAGGGCTTAGCGTTTCGAAATTAGCCATCCATAGTCATCTGCAGACGCTTGGTTTTGAAAAACGCCTTGATGTTTAGATACCTCGCGAAAGGAGCGAGCGCAATGTGATGGACTGCGCCACCATTACGACTCGTCGCTCAAACGAAATAGAATTGAGCCGTTTCCAAAACGCATGAGCACGAGAGACGGAAATTGGATTGTGTACAGCAATAAGAAGCGAAAGCGATCGTGGAGCTCCCTAATGAGCCGTCACAAACCGCTGCCAAAGTCAAAATCCAGGTGCGAAAAACTATGCCGAGTTGCTGATGGGATTTCAGGGAAATCACTTGCTATGAGCTGTTGTCGCACAATCAAAAGATGACTTAGGAAAGGTACTATAGTGAGCTAGAAAATATGGAGGCAGTGGTAGACCAAAAGCGACCCGAAGTGGCCAATTGTGAGGGCGTGATCTTCCCTCTAGACCAGGATACCTCTAGACCACACGTATTTTTGGTCACTCGTCAAAAGTTGCTAAAGCTCGGGTGGGATGTCTTACCGCACCCCTCATATAGTTCAGAAATAGCGCCATCAGAATACTACTTGTTTTGGTTGCTGCAAAATACTTTGAATGGAAAATCGTTCAATTCGCTGGAGGACTGCAAAAAGCACATGAGTGGGTTTTTCGATTTCAAGTTTGGAACCTTCTATGGAAGAGGGGAACTGGAACCTACAGGAAGATGGCGAATCCTTACTCAACAGAGTGGAGGATATATTGTTCAATCAGTGAATTTCTACTTCTAGGAATTTTCATTCAAAGATGAATCAAAAATCGGCGGGATTTTTTCGGACAACCCGATAGTAATGTCCTCAAGTACTGCACCCGAGTGACTTACTACCCCTCAATTTGGAATGCTGTAGCTACGAAATAATATACGATGAGCGAAAGTGAAATTTGCAGAGGACAGAACCCTTTGAAAAATCCCTCCAAAAAAAAAAAAAACTCATCCTGACCTGTCGTTCCGCAGCTGGAGCGTTTTGCATTTGTGTCGCCGTCTCGTCCAGCTCACCTTCGCCTTCCACTTTATCCTCGACGTTATCGAAATCTTGCGCCAGTTCTCTTTGTCTTTCAGCATTTTCTTCAGCCTCAACCGAATCCTGCTGATTTTCCTCGTTTTCTTTTTCTTCATCGTTTTTCATGGCATTAATGGCCTTGCCCGCTTCACCAGAAGCATCGGCTCTTCTGTAAAAAAGAAAAATTGACAACGAACGCAAGAAATATTTTAACCCTTACCCTTCCTCCCCTCCCTTGTCCTCGATTTCTCTATTTTCATTTTCCTTTACTCCACCACTTTGTTCCTCATGCTCATCGTTTTCTTCCGCTCCACCTGTCCCTTGTTCGATTGCTTCCATATTATCTTCCGATTGCTTGTCATTCGGTGGATTACTCGCAGAATTTTCTTCCTCCGCAACAGCCTGAAGTGAATAGGTATCTGGATTCACAGCTCCTTACTAATCCAATGGAACCTGGAAGTATTCAAAGATCATCCAAAGAAGAGCAATGGCAAGCTGGAGTGAATGTGGATCTGGACAATATTTCATGTACGCAGGACCTTGTTGGGTACAAGAATGATATGTTCTGAGCTCGTTCCTGTTGTGATAACACTGCATACCACAACAGAGAGGAAGAACCACTTGAACCATCCTCTATGCTCATGACATCACTATTCCAGCGGAATGCAGGAAAGAACTTCAGGACAAACGGCAGAAATATCAGCGTGTACTGGCCTAGAAGTGACTCCGGCTGAACGTGAAGAAGACCAACTCTCTCAGGTCAAAACGGTGCGCACTCAGTTACGCAGAAGTCGTTGAAAGAGTACAAGACTTCCCTTGCCTGAGAAGTCACCTAGTCGCTGCCAGTGGTGCGAAACAGGCTCTAAAGACTCGAATAAGCGCGGCATGGATGAAGTGGAGAGGTTACAGTGGGTTATCAACAAAGTTCCAGGATTTCGAAGGAAATGTTACAGAGCAGTGGTGGGAGCCGTGAAAGAGAACGGCACTACGCAGGTTTGAGAATGTTGAGATGGACTCGCGGTGGACGCGGCTGGATCAGGTTAGAAGCGAGGACGTCGGGATGAGCATGCAGACAGCTCGTATACAGCTGAAGACGAAAAAAAAAACTCAGTGAAAACGATCAGTTTTATTGAAGCGAAGCATTAAAGAAGAGTTGACGAGACCCCACCAAGAAAGACTTCTCTGGAGTCAAGGTAAAGGCAAAGGATGCAGCAGATCGGAGGAATTGGAAACAGTTCAAAAGAATAGCGGTCCCGGGGGCAGGAGAAATCCAAAACAAGCATAGGGATGGTTAGTAGCCAAAGACAAGGGCTACTGCTAATCGACGCTTACAACAGAATCGTAGTAGTGTTAAAGTCTACGTGAATTAGGCATAAAGTAATAAACCAAATGGAGTCATGTGCAATAATGAATGGCAGGCTGCAGCTCACATTTTCATTGTCATTTTCATGGTTATCCTCCTCTCCTTCGCATTCCTCATTTTCTTTCCCTTGCTCATCATCCGTCGAATCGTTATCCACATCCTCAGTGTTTGAGGCTTCTTGTTCACTTTCGAGCTCGTCCTCCGGTGGCAACAACCTGAAAATTACCGACGAAAATAGAAAAAGCAAAAATCTCTTTAGTTGTCTGAAGTATCTTCATGTCAAAACCCAGCCCTCCAAAACACAAAAAAACTGTAGTTTTTAGATGACCATATGTTCCACAGTGAACCCCGTTTTACGTTCAATCCATGGGTGTGATGTCAAGTCGAAAACAACGTGATGAATTTGGTGATGTAATAGTAACTTTCGGGTGAGAGAAATCACGGCTTAACTTAGCGCTATACCCTGCTTCAGTGGAAACCTACGTCATTTGAAACCCTATGTTCTCTTTTATTACTCTTAATCCCACCACTCTACTGCCACATCAGCCCTTCCGCTTGTAGAAGGATAGGAAATGAAAAGCCTGCGGAACTCAAGTTGGACCACCTGGTTGCTAGCGGCACACCTTTCTTCGAGAACCGCCAAAATTTGTCTTTTCCTTCATCGGCCCCTGTGATTCCATACTTACTGGCCCCGTAAATCATACACATCGCCTTTAATAAAAGGTGAGTGATCCGTCAGGAATCGATTTTCATGTATCCTGAACTTTTTTGTATATCCCAGATCATATGATTGTTAGCGCTTATAGATACACCATACGAAACCCCCAAAATGGTAAAACTAACGAATCCTCTTTTCCATTGTCCTCTTGATCGTCTCTTTCTCTTTCGTCAACATTCTCCATGTCATCCGCTTGCTTGTCATCAAACTCTTCCTCTCCTTCATTTTCTGCTGACTTCTCGTCTGCCGTTACTGTGTCGTCCTCCTTCGCAGCTAATGCATCAGTTTTGTTATCAGCAGCTGAAAAGTGGGATGATATGACACTCTGCATAAAAACGAATGAATAGTATTACACTCGCGACCTGCATTGTCTTCATCCATTCCTTTTGGGGACGGATCCTTCTCCTCTTCGTCCCAGAGCTTTGGATCAAGTTGCTGTTCGTCTGCCTCGTCAACCTGAACCGTCAACTTTTTCAGAAACCGTAAAGAGGGAGGGCACTCAGGAGAAACTCAGACAAAAAACCTATTCAATCAATATGGTGACGAAGGATCAACTAACGTCTCCCATCTGGTCTTCCGGATCAGCTTCCTCTTCGCTGTTTTCACCTGACTTTTCATCATCATCACCAGCTTCGTTACGATCAACATCTTGAATATCTTCAGGAAAGTCCTGAAGCAACTCAAATGCACTTTCATTCACTTCCATCTCGTGTGCACTCTTTCAATTTAGAAACATAAAGGGAGCTATCGAGACCCGATATACTGGTCTTCGTATTGCTATGGTGAAAAGATTTTTCGAAAAACTCGTTACGTTTACCTCCTCCATTTCGATGGGCTTTTCGTTTTGACCAGCATCTCCACTTGGTGGCTCACACTCATCGTCTTGAAGACCTTCGATCTGACCGCTTTCCTCCATTTCATCGGTGACATCTTTCGCATCACCCTTCGCTTCACCCTCACCAATTCCCCCACCTGTAAGATGTGCCAGTTACTGCACTTTCACCCGCGGACACAATAGGAAGTCCCCATGGCGATGGAAAAAGAAACAGATACCTTCACCAGCTTCATCAGCGTTTCCTTGACCTGACTCCTGTTTCTCTGCTTTGGGTATTGGATTGACGTATCCCTGAGTAAACAAAATTTAGCACCTAGAAGCAATGACTCGATTAGCTTACTCTCAAAACTAGAAAATATTGTATCGAGAAAAAATCGCGTTCCATTAAAAACAAAAATTGCTTGGAGCATTTTACCCGTACAAAGTTAGAAAAGAAGAGGAGATACTTACTTTTTCAAAGAGTTGCATACTCATCGATAAAAGGGCGTGATAGAGTGAAGCAAATGCTTGCATCGCAGACGAGACGAGTCCATTTATAGCAGAGAATAATCGAGTGACGACATGTAACAGTGATGTGATCTCTTTTAAACAGTTGGGAACTAGGCCAGCAATCGCATTGGAGAGTGCTTGTGTTGCCCATGGGACCACCTAAACAGCTGGAAAAGATAATGCGCAAAAAAAGAGAAAAGAAATTCCGTCGATTCTTTGTGAGAAAAGGCTCACATGCAAGCAAGTAATCATACAAAAAATCAGAAGTACAAGAGAAACAAGGAACTCACTTTCTCATAACCAGAAGCTGCCATTGCATTCAAAACAAAATCGAATCTATCCATCAATCGCATATTGGTGTTATTTGCATTTTCAGCCAATGACTTGTATAGGTTTTGAACGAGAAGGAGAGGCGGATCCGTGGATACATCGACTGTTTTCGCCTCAATTTCATCCACCTGAAACTACCCATCCAACTTGAGAGGGTCTCCAGCTCGATTGGTATTGAAAGAGTTTCGACAAAGATCAAATACACTTCATAAGGCTGCAATAAATCCGCTCACCGTCAGTTTCGATAACAGACCGCTGAGTGCCTCGCCAGAACGGGAACATTCGTATTCAAACCATTCCTGCAGCTGCTCGAGAACACCTTTAAGCTCAGTTCCATCCGAAGAGAGATGTTCGAATGATCGTGTTACCGTTAACCTACAGGAAAATAAGGATAGAGAAGAAAAGCAATCTTCCTCTTTGAACATTAGCACTGGTGGAGGGTCAGACCCCGTCTGACCGAACAATGCTGTTCAATGAAGTATTGTAAAAGTGAGCGTAAGCAAATGAATGGAATACGAACTTCCCGCAAACTTGGGTTTCGGATTCCGCCAGCAAAGAGCTTGCTGTCTGATGAATTTTCTTCGACAGCGAGACAGAGTCATTCACCAGCTTACGGAGCCCGTCTAACTCCGGGCTTTGGGAATGAAGGCGAGATAATGGATGTTCCCATTCAGCTGGCTCTTCAAATGAATTCGAGTATAAGCGTACATACGTTGAAATTACATAAAGAAATATGATGTAATATCTCAATCATGTCAAAAAATAGTCAAAAAATAGAAGAAAAATTAAGCACACAATTCACTTCGATCTTACCTTCATTCAGTTCCCGCTCAGGTACACTTGATAACCGATTCGACATTGCATCAGTGTGCCGGAGCAGTTCCTCTGATCGCTCGAGAATGAATTCTAACTGAGACTTTAATCGCTCGTAGTCCACAAACCATCCAGCCTGAAATCGCACTGAAACCTGCGGAGTATCAAGTTTCCTCATTTCCCCAGAGCTCGGAAGTATAGTGGTCCAGTAAAAAGGCGGACTTAATCTCGTCCTTTACTTGAGTACAGTTCAGGCAGTCAGTCACCCCATTTGCTGTTCAGCCAGGGTGTGAATAGCACGGTCTAGTCGTACTGCAGCCAAACGCGAAAAATTTTCACCCATTGTTTACAATGAAAGCCGTAATGAGTTCCCCTAACTCACTTCGACATTCGATTCCAAACACTCGAAAGCATGGGTTTTCCCAACAAGCACATTATAGGACTGCTCAAAATCTGCCAGTTCTTTGTGACACTTCAAAATCCAAGCCATGCCGTAATCTGAAGCAAAGAGCATTTGTTTGATTATCTGTTTCTAATTCTGAAAGACCGCTCGTTACTGACCAATAACTCCAATTAAATGCTTCCTCGTCGCTACGCCCAGCTGATCATTCGGTGTTATGCTCTTGCGGATGCAGCTATTCCTCGCCGCGGCGCATTTGTGGACAGTTACCTGAATGATGATGAGAACGTAGCAAGTAAATGCACGAGTATGGAAATGGAACCAACCTCATTTGCTAGTTTTCGTTTCACTTCTGTTAATGAGCTTCTAGTCAACTTTTCTTGATCGAGCCCTTGTGCTTTGCGAGCATTCAAACCTATACTCTGAGCCTCTTTGATAACCATTGCAACCGAGCGTTGCCGAGAGTTCCGGGCGTAGCCCTGTTGCTTCTCCTGTGTAAAACTTTTTCAGCATACAATACGCAGACGTTTGAATATCCAACTTTTACCTTATCCTCATCCTCTCCCTGATAGTTAATAGTCATGCGGATTGCCTCGTCACAACTGCTTGTTTGATCAGTCAGTTCGACAGCACCAGTTATGTCACAGAGGGTTGCCGCTGTAAATACCGAATCGTAGAAGAACTTTCCGCTAAGGAAAAAAGGCAGACCTTGAGTTATAATTACACCCGCAAGTTCCCTGGCTCTCCGTCCACGACCATCAATCATTACTTCCGATAAATCAGGAAGTGCAGCAACACTTGGGCTGCCAATATGGACCAAATTGTCAAAATGTGGCGAAACTTGGACCCCTACTGCTTCCTGAACGACATCAATTCCTCAAAAGTCAAACTGTTTCAACTAAAAATGAATATTCGCTGATGATTGAAAAATGAATCTGTTCAGAGGGCTCACCCGGAATTTCCTCACGATCTTATAGAGGTGAGTGTGAGCTTTTTGCGATGACGCTTTGATGTTCCACAAATTGAGGTCGTTGAACTTCACTATTTTCATATAGTCTTTAAGGGCATGCTCAGCAGGTTCTCTGAAAGCAAAATATCCCAGGTGGCAGAAAGCAAAATAAATTGCGGATCAAAAGTCACCGGTACTTGCACAGAGACGTGGATAGATTCAGGTCTGGCTCCCTGTTTCCGCTGTGTTAGGTCGATTTGTACGTTCTCTTCGTAGGGGGTCCATTCATGCGGTTGGGGTTCTTCACATCGGAACGGCCAAAAGCTTGCATTTGAGTAGCTGGGAAGTAACGCGAGAAGGATTACCTCCGGTTGATGGATCAAAAACCGAAGTATTTAAATTACGACCGTAATTTAAATACTTCTTTTTTTGATCTATCAACCGGAGGTAATCCTGTGAAAATTTCAACCCAATGTTAATCTTTTACTTGCAGGCGAAGTTACTACCAACGAATTAACAAAACTTAACACATTATTTTTGACTATTCGATCTGCCCCTATTCCAGAAGCCACTACACAAGATCTACCAGAATCAGAGCTTGGCAAGCTACTTCAGGGACCCATATGCTAAAACAGTAGCTTAAATTAGCCTAATTCCTCTGAATCTCAGGGTGAATCACGTGAGACCACCCGGGAAAGGCTGTTAAAATTTCAGGGGTCCTTTCTGCTTTGACATACGCCTCGGAGGTTTGGATAATTCGAAAACAGGAAGAGCATTGCAGGGAGCGTCAAACACCTTGCTATTGAAAAGGCGATGCTCGGAATTTCCCGAAACACGCGAGTGCAGAGAGAATCCATAGTTCCGGATGCTGTTGCTTATGTCAATGAATCAAAAAACAGGTGGACGGGAAACTCCATGTGATACTGCGGTGACTGTTGGACCAGAGCGGTTACTAAGTAGACCCTCGGCACATCAAATAAACACTCATACGACTGCCAGCACGATGGTCAGACGTCATCACAGAAGGAATCTCTAAACAAAAGGAATGGTATGGCTTGTATTCCTCGAGTGTGGGTTATTCTGGCTCGCTACAGGGACGAATGGACTCGCTACAAGCAGCTCGAGGAAATCGATGACAAAGGGGACGTTACGTGACACGGGTAAATGATAATATAATTCAATCAATTGCTTAAAAATCACATTAGGAAAGCATACCTCGCTTCACGTAAACTCTGATCAACAGCTGGTATGTACTGCTCGAAATGAGCACTGATCGAGTGAAGTTGACCAGAAATTGAGGGATAACCAAGTAAGTCCGCCCAATCAGCTAGGCAGTGCACGCTTTTTATCCGAGTCGAGTAATCCAACAAACTCGCATTACCGATCCACTCCGTCGACATCGCAAGGAGTGCGGTTTGAGCTTCGGGAGCTGAAAATGTAAAGTTTATGGATGTCCTGAAAGTTTTGAAAGTTTCCGTTCACCCTCATCCCTCCTCAGACTTTGGAGCTTTCACGATTTGAAAAAGATATTAACCTTCATCATCTATAATGCGTTCAAAAAACCAAAAACTCACTCTCAGCCTTGAACAATGCATCAAACAACGGAAAGACCACAAGTTGAGCACGAAGTTGCCCATCCCTCTCTACACGATTTAGCAACTCTCCCCATGATCGCACCTGTACGATTACGAGAATGTGATACGGGTTCACAGGACCAACACGAATTAATCGAATTCTCACCTCCATCTTTTTCCAGTCGACAAGAAGTTCACGCAATGGCGCCAATTCGTGTCGGAGTGAGTTCGCCCTATCAGCTATTTTCTCCCATTCTTCACACTGCTCTGGAGAATAAATATATGGGTGAAGAACGGGTCAACATTTCAAGAAATCTGCATCATACCTATTATATTCTCCACCAAGATGGCCATTTTTACTTGAACTGTGCAAAGCTTAGCGTTTGAAAAGGTCTTAATAGCTTCCAGAATAAGAGATAGCGGAACTTGCTGAAAAACGTATCTTAATGAAGAATTGAATGATGGTCACACTGTGCTTCATCGTCCTATCAGAAAGCAATCAGACGACCGAAAATGACGACTCAATGGGTAAGCTCTCCAATTGGGTTCAAGTACAGCCCGAACTCCGAAGACAACTGGATAAAGGTGTGCAGATGCTTAAGGCGTATGATTCATTTTGCTTGACTGAGAAAGAGTTGGCAGACGACTACAAAGAGAAGAGGACATCCGGTTATGACACCGAGTGCTGCCAAGTGGGTAATGCTGAAGTCCGAGACTTGCGACTTTTCTGGAGACGTTCTAGGGTTTGAAAACCAGGCGGTAAAAATGAAAAAAGCAAAGGGTAACTGACAAGGTAGACGAAATGATCACCTAGATATAAAGGAACAAAACCGAGAATTAGCCATACCGCTGGGGGCAGCCTCTACAACGGAGCATGAGTTAGGCACTTCAGATGACAATGGATATAGCAAAGAGAGGACAGGGATCAAACAGGCACTGCAGGCGCACCCCTAGGTAGACATATGTATCAAAATGTCACAACAAGACATAAAATTCGGCAAAAGAAGCGTTGCTAAATACTGGCAGTGAAGATATGAACAGCTTTTCATATTCCAGTTCCGAAATCACCTAAGAACTTAGCCGACAGTATAGAAATTGAATAGGAATGCAGATAATAGCAAAAGCTAGACAGAGAAAAATAAGATTCGTGATTTCGGTTGAAGTGTACGAGCTACCAGTTAATGTGCAAAATAGAGTAAGCTAATAAGGGTACGATGTTAAGTGGGAACGACCATGAAGGTTTCAATGAAATAAAGACATTCTCAACGAATTTTTATGACGCATGTGTCAGCATGTCATTGCCAGAATGTATCGACTGCAACAGGACAAGTAGCGCCTAGAGCCTTCAAATTTGGGGGGAGTACACTCGCTCAAATTTGGGGGGAGTACACTCGCTAGAATGTGAACATTGACTATGTGGGCAGCAGTGGTCCGGGCCTATAGGGGGGCGGGGTTTGTGCTAAAATTGCCGAATTGGAGCTAGAGCGTTCAAATTTGGTAGGAGTACAGACGGTAGAATAGGAACACTCTTTCATTGATAACGTTCCCATCCTGCCTGCTCTACTTCTATGGGTAACCCCGCCTACTGCGGGCGGAGTCTGAAAGAAAGAGGCTCTGGAAAACATGATCCACACACCACTTAAATCCTAACACATTTATTATTTAAGATCTGGCTTTGACTCTTTGATATGTTCCATTCGACAAGAAGGGTAAGTGTAGTGATGGGGACCGACTGAGACTACTTATCTCTAAGGAGATGAAAAATGGTTCATTTCTTGCTATTATGTTACGCCCGCTACCCAGTCAAGTTAGTGACTCGATGAAGAACGCTGTTTCTCTTCGCCTTGATATCATTCTTGGCAAAACTTATCCATCCGCTGATAATTTTGGATTCTCATTCAATGGTGTATCCGCTGAAAAAGGGAACTTCATTGATAAATACATTTGTTAATGATATGGCATTTGTAAGTACCATTCAGGACTTTGGTTCTACTACAATAGTTAATCTTCAATGGGTCACTATTTGTAAGATGAACAGCAACAGATTGAGACTTCTAATCATAGGCATGAGCATCGGCTCATTTTGAATACATCTTGCATGCCCTATTCGTCCTTTCTTGTTCAGAAAAATACCATTTGGTCCAAATGAGGAGGAGTCGATTTGCCGATTTTCAACCATACTATGAAAAGGAGGGAAGCCCGGCGTTAGACGGGCGGCCTGACTCGTTTGATATAAGGGGTAACAGACTTACGATGGAAATTACTTGTACGAGGATACCGCAGTGCTATCTCACGGTCATTCATTGGTGGGGCGTCATAACCGAGAAAGTAGCGACGTGCGGAAGCGGATTTGGAGAAACGAACGAAGCAGGATAAGTTACAATCAGAAATTCTCAATCAGTTTATATGAAAGAAAAGGAATTCTTAGGGCCATCATCACAAATAGATCAGAAAGTTGAAGTATAAGCTTCGCTGACTGATGAATTGTATTACTCCTGGCGTGAGAAATGACCTTAGATATATAACTTATTAACTAGAGACCTATGAGGGTCAATCAAATCAGGTAAATGGTTACCTCAGGAAATCGTTCCAGTATGATTCGTGTTCTTTCTTCGAGAGGTTTAAGGATCTCTGCAGCACGACGGAATTGAGCACATGAAGAAGATCGATATACATCTAGCACGCTATCAGACTCTGCGACGATTTTGCTTGAAATGTCTTCCAATAAAAAGAGATCAGAATCTGAAAACAGCCGTTATAAACTTTAGCAGCGATCACATCGAGACATATAAGAGTCTCTTGTATAAAAAAAGAAAGGAGTTTTCTCCCTTGTTCAAGCACTTCCTACTATTTCCGCACCGGTGTGAAAAGTTTACTCACCAATAGTGGAAGAGTGCAGAGCTGGATCAAACTGCCGTACACCAACGAGAACTTGCCGGAGCCATAGAAGGGCGAGAACATAGATGGGATCTTTTGCCGACCTCGTGGCTGTGGAAGAAACAGACTTCTGCTGATTAGCCTCCAGCAGTAATCCCAAAGCCACGTCAGATAGGATCTCTCGCTCCTGCTCTCGCTATACAAGAAAAATGTCAATCCCACGAACTCCCACGATGAGTCTTGAAATATAATACAAACCTCTGAGAAAAATTCTTCCACTTCGAACTGATCTTTTTCTTCCTCTGTTTTGTTTCGGTAAACAAAATCTTTCTCTGCGGCTTTGGCAATGTTCTTCTCATACCTTGAAAAGCATTTTTTTCACTCCACAGCTGCTCCTTTTCTCTTAATGACAGAGTTCACGATAAAAATGGTTTCTGAGATTCCCCCACAGGAAGAATTTGAGGCTCCTGCGTATACCATATCTGGCACTATTAGGTCGGAAAAGGGCCTAGTTAGGGAGTATAAACGTCCAATGATTGCCCGCGTACATCCTCGGACGAGTTTCATCGGCATTGTGGAGGCTGCCCGATCACAAGGGAACCAACCATTTGGGAAATGCTAACAACTTGTCGTGACCCACAGTGGCAGTGAAAGGCAGTTCTGTACGGTACTGGACTGGCTTGATGTAGTCAGCTCTTTGTGCAATTGCAATAACTGAAATCCCTTCCATAATACTTCCGCCACGTCAATCTCGTCCAACCCCTATTTTCTCTACTTTTGAGGAGCCCTTTTCTTCGGAGTTGGCGAATTCTCTCGCTTTTTTCACTGCCGACAAACTATTCCCGATCTATACTTCCGCTTTACGAATAAAAACAGGTACCTCAAAATTATTAAAATTATCGTGAACTGTGCCTTTGAAATTGAAAGGTTGATGGGTGACATCTTTGGCTGATGATCAATACCGTCTAAGGATGCGCTCCAGCATTCGACTTCCACCCAGATCAGCAGAGGTGTACTGAATGCGCGTGTGGCCTATCCAACGACTTGCGGTGGCCAGCCAATGTATAGGTCAGTGCTTTTATCCTCCCAGATCTGGTATCAACTAACCGACCCCAGAGGGAAGGCTTAGCTGGCTTAGGCGGACATCGATCCGGGATACGAACCCGCGACCATGCGTGTTGTTAGTGCACCGCTTGCCATTAAACCACCCCGCTCAATCGCCCCCCTTACCATTGAAGGGAGAAAATTACCATTTCTGCCATTGACGACGGATCCATACCAGATTGCATTTAGGATCATCACCAGAGGTCAGCTGGCGTTTGACGATGGCAGCCTTCAGAGGTAGAGGCATTGGCGATACCTCCCGACAGCACCACGATAAGAGCTCAACGCTCTGTAGACCTTCCAGTGATGATTTCACCTGAACCAAAACAAGTAAAGTATAATTTTACCATGAGGAAGAGATAACCATTACATTGAACATAGTCGGGAACGCGTTGCGCATCTGAAGTTGCCGTCTTCGTTCGACAGCCTCGATCAAGTCACATGCTTCGTAGAGACCACAAAGAAATACGTCTAGACCTTGGATGAACGTCATCGTTACGTCCACAAAAGAAGCGAATACTGAGAGAAACTTCTGGAAAATGGCGCACATTCAAAAGAAAAAATGTGAATTGGTACTGAACAGAAAGAGCTGTTTGGCCTATTATGACCTTATTCCAAGTGGGATTGAAGTATTTTAAATAGCATTTTTAAATATTTAAGAGTATCAATATTGATACTGAAAGCATACCTTTCTAAAACCAAGGGCACTGACTACGAATGAACGTATCTGTGAGACGATAATGAATAGCTCTTGTGAACTGAAGTGCAGTAGGAGAGAATCAGGTTTGGTGTCGACACCGGACAGGAGAGTAGCAGTTGACGCAGCGATGCCGAAGAATTGTCGCATTTCCTCGCACATCGACGAGTACTTGATCAAACGAATCATTTAGTCGCGACAATAGAGAGTAGGGGTCTAACGAATAAGTACCAGGCTAGCTTTCTGACGGAAAACTCTGGGTCTCTCCTGCGATCCCTCAAGTAGTTTGCTTAACTCTAACCGAATCTTCCAAAGGGAGGCGATGACCGGATGTGGGGAACGTGAATCGCACTCTGGCGGCTGTCTAGAAAAACATTCTTGAAAATTCAACTTTAAGCTATCAATGTTTTATGACCAGACCAATAGAGCTGAAGCAAAAACTTGTCTGAACTACGTGCTCCCAAGAAAGGCCTTACTTTGATACAGAATTCCTCCATTTAGCGAGCACACTCAGTGGCTGATCAACTACGTGAAAGACGCTCAATTGGTATGCTTCTCGTTGCTCTTCAAAGATGACAGGGTCAAGTGTATTCCGAGGAGGCAAGGCCTGCAACAACTTAGTTCAGATGAAAGGCAACGACTCGAAAAGGAACATGATTCTATTACTTTTTGCATGATTCCGACTCCAACATCGAGACGTATCCTCCAATCATCGACCGGGTGATTTGCTCCATTCACCAAATCTTCCAACCAACTATTTGCAGATTTCAACACCTTACTGAAAATTGACAAAAAACAAATCCAGTGAAAAGCACGGTTAAAAGCTCTGCAGAAACTTCAGAAAGTTAAGAGAAACTAACGTGATCAGCCGCGACAAGAGCGTAGAGTTGGCAGCAAGTCTCCAAAGCTGATTTACAAACTTTTTCAGCTCACAGTGCACCAAATCCGAAACGGAAAGTGAGCTTAGCTGGGGATCGAAATCAACATTTTTCCAGAACGACAAAACAACAGTCGAGAAAGCGTCGTCGAATAATAGCGATGAAAACTGAAACAGTGAAAGAACCACAATATATACCAAGCACGGACACGGCTCTAAAAAATAACCCCGCGGTAAACGGAGCAGATCATGCGACGACTCATGCAGTCATTACCTTTTTAGTGTCATGACACACGCTATTCAATAACGCGATTCCCCGGGCAAACTTTCTATTTTGCTCGTTTCTCCAACGAATGGATTCTAGCACCAGTAGGTAGTCAAATTCAACACATGGCTGAAAATACCGTTATCAAAGACTACAAATTCGTAGCCAATCGCCAACTCACCAGGTCAGCTGATCCCGTACAGAGAGAAGAATGGAAAAGTCGCATCAATGAAACCAAGTGGATCGCCTTCGAAACAGGCGATTCCTGATTGGATGTCGGACTGACTTCAATCCTATCCCATTTTAGAACTTCCATATGAATTTCTAAGTAAGACGCATCATCTGCTCCAGATGGGCAGCTCACTGAGCACAACCTAAAATCTTGGTTCATACAACAAGACGAAACATTGAAAACTCCAGTGGTTGAAGAAAAACTTATATTCTATGTCATACACAAACGACCGCGAAAAGGTAGCATCTACAGACCTCACCAGAAGAACGTTACTGAGGGGACAAAAAAATATGGGTCAAAAGGCCTGCGTATCGTCACAGAAGTATTTAAATGGAGCCAAAAACCTATATTTCATCAGCACGTAATTGGAGACTTGTAGTAAGTTAAGTTGTTGCAGAAAAGTCACATTGCTAAACGTATAAAAAATGTTTTGACTTGATGCTTTGTTAACTGCTGTTTTAGGGGCCGCAGTACACGAAGCAAAAGTCTCACAAGGTTGGCGATTTATGGACAAAACTTCGGACGGGACTCGAACCCGTACTTGTGTTTTCCGGGCACCGTGCTCTGCCCCTATCGAGACCCCGCTTGCCCCCGCCTTCTTAATGGCTTACATGTTACTAGTTACGCTACGCACGTTAATGCGTGCACCGCATGCCCAGTACCGCTTACCTACGACTTGTTAGAGGAGCAATAAAAACAGTATCGGTTGATTTCCCGTTTCATAACTGTTTGTGCCTACGTGACTTTCGGAAGGACGCACAAACGGGCATACAAACAGACACACAACATTACCACTTTATATATAGAGACGGTCGGACCGCCCCGCGTTAGCCGGGCTTTCTTCCATCTTTAAGTTCTAGTAATCGGCAACCGCCCCCCCCCCCCAATTTTTGGATCGAATGATGCTTTCCTGTACACGAAATCCGACACACTCTACACAACATTGACACAGGACCCAAAAAGAGGGGAGCTGGCATAAGCAGAGCAGCGCCAGTTGTATTTAGGGTGTGCCGATGCTTACGCCCATGATTAAAAGTGTCAATCGGTTGCTCTTCATCTTGAAAACTGTGAACCATTAAAGGTTTAGCTGACAGGCAACCAAAGAGTTGAGTAGTACCACAAATGTTCTCAAGTGATAGTAACACCATTATCATATGTCGTTATCATTAGACCTTCCTTCTTCAACGGGTACATCATTAGTTGAGAATCCCAAATTATTGGCGAACGGATGAGCTTTGTCGTAAATGATATCAAAACATAAAGTAACCTTGATCTTCCACCGAGTTACAAACCTTGCTGGGTAGGGGTCGTAATCTATATAATAGTCGTAATCATAAATACATCGTAAATACCACAGGAGCTAAGCTCAGTTGATAAGTGCCCATATCAGTCGTTATCAGCTGTTATCATTCCTATCATCGGCCGTCTATGATCCCGCCATACTCTACATCACATGCCAGAATGCCAGGGATCCATTATCAATGCCATTATTACAGTGGCTCTACGCTTTCGAGGATTTTCATTAGCCCTTATCAGTTTTATCAGGTCCTGACCTGGCACCAACCGTTATCGATCCCGTCATCGAGCACCTACGATCCCGCCCCACATCTCACATAACCTGCTAAAATTCCAAGATTCCATTATTAACAGAAAGGGCGTTACAGATTTAGTGGCTCACGCCTTCTGTGGCTTCTTATCAGTCCCTATCACTTGTTATCATCCTCTGTCACCAATCACTAACGGTCCCTTCACATCCTACACCACCTGCCAAAGTGCCAAGGCTTCATCGCTAATACGAAGGGATTACGGATACTCAGACTTATGCCTTTTAAGGCTCCTTATCAGTTCCTATCGATAGTTGTCGCTTCCAAACACCTACCATCAGTGTTCCCATCCCGCCGTCTATCTCTCTTTCAAATCTGAATGCTTCAGCTACAGCGGGACGGGAGTTATGAATTTCTGGTCGGACAAACTTACACACATACTCACACACACAAACACACCAACAGACACACTTAGCCGATTATATAAGTAGGATAGTCATCAGCACTCACAACGTGTTGATAAGTGCTAACTGCTATGTTTCTAAGGTGAGAGCGTTTGGAAATTGCAAACCTTTGGCTTTCCTCTTCGGTATAGAACGGTTCAGCGACTCGATATGTTTTGTAGAACGGCAAATAAGAATTGATGAAATTATCGTGTGCATTCATTGGCCAACCCTCGCTCATTAAATGTAACAACTTCGACAGCATAGAACAAGATTTTGGTGTATCAACATAGCCCACAGAAGATCTGAAACAATAGCATACCCATTACTTCGTGAAAAAGATTTCTTTTGACGATCAAATTCAAACTGGAATGAGAAAACTCCATTCGTCTAGCCGAGTAAAATTAGTTCCCTGAGATGAAACTCATTCGAAATACGTATGGTCTTATCAAAATAAAGGTGTTCCACCATCCAATCAAGCTATCTATGCGATTTTCGTGATACATAGTTTTGTTAATTGACAATGCGAATTGAGTGCGAGAGGCATCAGCGCATCACTGTAATGTCACTTACTTTGGAATCAAGCGATATATTTCATTCCAAGCCAAATAGAGCGGTGCAAATCCAGTCCGTGAATCCAAAGGTTGACGGCAAGCTACCACGAAAAGCGCTAGACGCAAACAGAACATATATACCTGCAAGCATGAATTGCTCAAATTTTGAAGAAG